AATTAGCATGTGTGTCTATTAATTAGGGATTCATTTCCCTTGGGCTTCCCAAGCGGCACTATGATACAGGTCAAACAACTTGCCTGCCAATGCAGGAGATGTAAGAGATGTGGGTTTAATCCCTGGGTCTGGAATCCCTTGAAGGAGGAAATGGCAACCCACTCCAGGATTCTTGCCTAGAGAATCCGATAGACAGAGGACCCTGGTGGGTACAGTCCACAGGATTGCTCAGAGTTGGACATGACTGAAGCGACTTAGCATATGTCGGGGAAAAGGTCATCACTATAAAGCCCTGTGACTGAATAATAAATACGTGTATCAAGGGCAAACCTAAAGTGTAAAATGCAAGACTGAAATATAAGCTTTCAAATACTCCATATTATTGAAGGCAAGGAAGTTTACTTCAAGTAAATATCTGTTAATAATAAAGATACATAAAGGCAGCTACATCAGGGCCATTCCAACCTAAGTTCAGCTCTATGGCCTCCAGGAGTTATAAGCCCATTTTGGAATCAGACTATCCATCTACACAGACAACCTGTGTTTGATTCTGCTTTGCCACTTCCTGGCTGTGTGACTTTGGGAGGATGTCTCAAGCTCTCTGAGCTAAATCCCCTCCCCATTAACTGGGATAGATGGGTAAACACCATCTATCCTAGCTGGTTGAGTGTGAGGATTAAAAGCCACTTCTCAATGCCTGGCACACGGTCCACCTCTCGCTTAAGAGTAGCTGTTATCATTATTGAAGGGAAGTAAAATCTTATTAATTTTCTCGGGTTCACTCAACATGTAACTAGCAAAGAAGAGCAAATGAAGGAAACCAAAATATTTGCTCAATTTTTAATAAGAAATATTTCAAAAGAAAGAAAAGAAAACAGGGAGAAGGAGGAGAAGGAAGGGGAGGCAGAGGGTGGGCAGGGGTTTCAGACAACACATTACAGACTCTGCCGACTTGGACCGTCACCAGAGACCACCGAACAGAGAGGAGTACTTCCTCCACCAGAATACACCTCCCAAGGTGCTCAGAAGTCAGGAGCACCTTCAATCGGGGGCAGTGTGCTTCAGGCGGGAGAGCTGTGATTTCCTTAAAGGAGCTGCAGCACAAAAAGTGACCCACAGAGGAGGTACCAGCTGCTGTAACTACTTGGTGACAAAAGCTGAAGTCACACCGTCTGTATAGGAGACACCCAAATAAAACGCGCCGAAAGAGCAGGGGACGCACAGAGGAGAAACTCCCGCCCCTCTGTGTCAGCCTGATGCACTGTTACAGGCACGTTCATAACTGATGACCCCACGGCCCTGCGCACTGCCTCTTGCCACACTATCCAAAGCTCTCTGCTCGCCGATGCTACAGGCACATTCATAACCGATGACCCCACGGCCCTGGGCACTGCCTCTTGCCACACTATCCAAAGCTCTCTGCTTGCCGCTGCTACAGGCACGTTCATAACCGATGACCCCACGGCCCTGGGCACTGCCTCTTGCCACACTATCCAAAGCTCTCTGCTCGCATGCACACAACACGGGCTGCCCTGGTGGCCCANCGTTCATAACCGATGACCCCACGGCCCTGGGCACTGCCTCTTGCCACACTATCCAAAGCTCTCTGCTCGCATGCACACAACACGGGCTGCCCTGGTGGCCCAGCAATAAAGAATCTGCCTGCAATAAGGGAAACACACGTTCAATCCCTGGCCTGGAATATCCGCTGGAGGAGGAAATGGCAACCCACTGCAGTATTCTTCCCTGGAGAATCCCATGGACAGAGGAGCCTGGAGGGCTACAGTCCAAGGGGTCACAAAGAGTCGGACACGCTGAGCGACTGAGCACTCAACATGCGTGTCACCCAGCAAACTGCCGGGCCCTGCTCTAACCCTGTGGCCTCGGAACAAAGCCCAAGGTGTGGGAAAACCTTTTTCCAAGTGGGGGAAAGCGGGAAAGTCTGATGCATCACAACCAGCATCAAATCCACGTGCTACGAGATACCCACTGAGCCACTCGCAGGCACAGCACTCTAGTCCCTGTGACGCCCCCCCACAGGAGTTAGGGGGTGACAGCAGGCCAGCTAGGGTGCAGCAGCACTAACCTTCAAGGCCGTGACTCAGGCTGTTTTACATTAGAGGTCACTCAGTCTCAGGTTATCTTGGGCTTCCCTGTTGGTTCAGCTGGTAAAGAACCCGCCTGCAATGCAGGAGACCAGGGTTTGATCCCTGGGTTGGGAAGATCCCCCAGAGAAGGGAAAGGCTACCCACTGCAGTATTCTGGCCTGGAGAATCCCATGGGCTGTATCGCCCACGGGGGTCACAAAAAGTCGAACACAACTGAGTGACTTTCGTTTTCAGTCTCTGGTGAGCCAAAATCAAAATCAAGTCTCTCTGGGAAGTGTCTCTGCAATAACTGAGCCTCAGACCGGGCTGCAGGAACATCAGAGTCGCATGCATTGTCCAGAGACCCCCTCCCTCTGCTCCCCACAGGGCCCCTCCCTCCTTCCACGAGCAGGTCTGGTGCCTGCGGACTGTCTCCCCTGTGTGAAAGTGAAAGTGTCAGCTGCTCGGTCGTGTCCAACTCTTTGGGACCCCATGCACTGCAGCCCGCCAGGCTCCTCTGTCCGTGGGATTCTCCAGGCAAGAACACTGGAGTGGGTTGGCATGACCTCCTCCAGAGGACCTTCCTGACCCAGGGATCGAACTCGGGTCTCTTGCCCTGTACCCCATCCCTAAATGCAATTTCATGTCAGCACCCATTACAGATGACATGCTCAATAAACACTTCCTGAAACTAGCAGTGTGCTGTGTCTCTCAGAAATAATGCCAAGAGCTTGAGCAAGCAACTGAGCTGCTCTCCACCTCGGTTTCACTGAGCGCAGGCTCAGCAGTCACGGCCCACGGGCTTAGCTGCTCAGCAGTATGTGGGATCTTCCTGGACCAGGGATTGAACCTGTGTCCCCTGCCTTGGCAGGCAGATTCTTAACCACTGGACCACTGGGGAAGTCCTCTAATTTTTTAATATTTCTAACAAGAAGAGAAAGATGAAAGATAGTATACAATGACAGTGACCAGACCGTGCAAAAGCAGAGCTGTGACCCTCAGCCTGCAGCCGCCAGCCCAGAGAGCCAGCCTGCTGTGAGTCAGACCTTCAGGAGGACAGACTGCTGTCTCCACGGACAACCCAGGAAGCCAGACAGCAACCCCCGTGACAATCGGCCAGGACCAGACTGATATCTAATGGCCTTCCTAGTCTTTGTCCTGCTTCCAGCTCAGGACCAACCTCCCTGCCCCCTGAACAGTCACCTGGACACTCCTCTAGAGAGCCTGCAGCCCCCAGCTCCATCAGGCCCCGTGAGCCCCCTTTCCTCCACTAGAAAGCTCACCCCCTCCTCTGAGCCTCTGCCAAGCACAAGTGACGGAGGCCAACCCCTTTGCTCTAAGCAGCTCTGAATAAATAGCCTTTGCCTCTCTCAGGCGGTTGGTCTCCGTTTACTTCCACAGAGAAAAGTCCTCCTAAACCAGGGGCTTCGCTCCAGATGGCCAGTCCCTAATGTAGAAGCCCAGTGTGGCAGATTCCAAGTCTGGAGAGACCTCATGTCCCCAGGGCCCTCTTTCCACAAAACCTCACTTTCTTGAGGTTTGAATCACGACCCTGCTATCCAGGGAAGGAACCATGTGTCCGGGAAAGATCAAGGGCTTTGAGGTCAAACCCTTGAGTTCATCAAGCATTTCATTTTCCCCACTTGTAATTATGTGACCTTGAGCAACTTAAACATCTCTAAGCCTCCATCTTCATCTTCATCAAAAATATTTAGCTCTAAAATGATATTATAGGGGACACTTCTGTAAGACCGCTGGCGAGTACCAGGTGCTTGGCAAGTGTGGGGCCCCTCCTCCTGGCCCGCCTTCCCCCACAGTGGGAAACACAAGACGCCCCATCAGCAGGCTGGCGGTCCCCACGCCTGAAGCCTTGTATTCACAGGAGTCGCAGTGCTATCCAGTGCAACCCAAAGACAGGATTTGTTTCCACTTTCCACCTGGGTGTGAGACGCTTCTAAGTCATGCCACGTGAGCCGTGACACGGAGGTGGTTTTTCTGCACCACCCCACGCTGGTATTCCCAGGAGACTTGACTGACTCTGAAATCCTCTTCAGAGACGGTCTGGGGGCCTGCAGTGCCGCAGTCACACCTGGCCGCCCTCCCTGGGGCTCAGGCAATGCAGACAGACCGCCAGGACTTCAGGGGCCTTGGAAGCACCTTCCACTGTGGGACAAAGGATGGCTCAGCCTCAGAGAGCAGGCAGCGTGGGAGTCAGTCACAGCAGCCCTTCTGCCCAAGAGGCCGTCTGTCCACGCTTCTGTGGTCCTGGGGACACGCTGAGTGCTCTCTGCCTTGTCTCTCCGTCTCTGGGCCCTGGTGGCAGCCGTCTTTGGGCAGCTGGAGGCCTGGGCCCAGGCCGGGCAACACACCTCTGCACCACGCCTGCCAGCTGTCCCGCCAGGCGGGAGATGCAGGCTCCTCTGTCCAGCCCAGGCGCCTCCAACCTGCCGAACATCCAAAACTGGACTCATAGAAATCAGCGGTGCAGAGACGATGCCTTTTTCTGCACTAAGAAACAGAGATTTCAGGAAAAGGCATCCAAGTGAGACAGGGTGGCTGGAATCGTCGGTTCCGCTGTGGAAAGCCGATGCCCCCTGCAACGTCCCCCTTAGGACCACCCCTCGGTGGTCCCTTCGCCCACCTTCCCAAACCCCAGCATCTAGTGCGGCCCTCCCTAACAGCCTACGGTCAGTCTCCGTACAAGGCCTCTCCCGATGTGTGGGGCTGTGGGAGCCGCCGGGCAGGGACCGCTGCACACGACCCACTGAACGCGGGAGGGAAGGGAGGCGGGAGCAGAGACACCGCAGGCCCGCCGGGCGGGCCAACAGCAGCCGGGCTGCCCGGCGGCGCTGCTCTGCCCACTGCTGTGTTCTGAGGGGCTGCCTGAGGACAGCCCTCGGGCGCTCCGCTCACCGGGTGTGGGCCACCGGAACGTCCTAACAAATGCAGAGGCCGGGCCGCACGCTCCTCACGGCTCTGGCGTTGGCGTTGGAATCCCACCTCCTTCGTGATCTTGGGAGAGTTCCTCTCTGTCTCGTCACCTCGTTGTTTTTACCTCGAAGTAACTACCAACACTGTTAGTTTCAGGCAGGCAACCTAACTACTTGACACATGCAAGTACTGTGAAAGGACCACATTAGCATCAATCACCACACACAGTTACAATTTTTTTTTTCTTGTGATGGGAACACTTACCATCTACTTGCTCAGCTACTTTTAAACGTACAATGCAGTATTGTTAACTTTAGCCTCCGTGAGTCTTCATCTCATTTTGTCAACTGCAAAAGGAGGACATTACCTCCCAAAGAGCTGCTGAAAAGGTTAAAAGAGATACAGATGGAGAGTGTCTGGCATGGTGCCTCAGACGTAGTTAGCACTCAGTAAACAGTGCCAGCCATGATGGGGGTGGTGGCTCAAACTCCAAAAGGCAATGTTAGACTTTCTAGACCACTCAGTCCCACTTACCGTGAAGACACGGGCTTCCCCGGTGGCCCAGCAGTAAAGAATCCGCATGCAATGCAGGAGCTGCAGGAGACTGGGGCTCGATCCCTGGGTCGGGAAGATCCCCTGAAGGAGGACGTGGCCACCCACTCCAGTATTCCTGCCTGGAGAATCCCACGGACAGAGGAGCCTCGTGGGCTACAGTCCACGGGGTCACAGAGTCGGACAGGACTGCAGAGACTTAGCACACATGGATCACGAACACACAGTACGTCTGGGCTTCTTAGAGGGTCCTACAGGCTGAACGTCCATGTCCCCTCAGACTTCATATGTTGAAACCTAGTCCCCAGTGTCTCAGTATTAGAGGAGTGGGGCCTCTGGGAAGTGATTAGGTCATGAGGGTGGGGTGCCCCTGGAGGGGATTAGTTCCCTTAGTTAGACCCCAGTCAGCGCCCATGTCCCTCCAACATATGAGGACACAGCCAGAGATGCTGTCTGTGAGCCAGGACGCAGGTCCTCACTGGATACAGAATCGGCCAGCACCTTGAGCTCAGACTTCCAGCCTCCAGAATGGTGAGAAAGAAACTCCTGTTGCTCATAAAGCACCCGGTCTATATGTTCTGTTATAGCAACCTAAACAAGCTAAGACAGTGGGTCACACGTTAAGCACAGGAAAACTCAAATGATTAAGCCATCTAGAGAAAAAAACTCAACTCACTTAGGACTGCCCAACACACAAATTTGTATTCATTGGGAAGATGGGATTTTAAAAGAAAGCATCATGCCCCATGTCCCCAAGAACCGTCCCTGACTCTCACGGTTAAATTAATTGAGAATCACATGGTGAAAATGTTTAGGCAAACCCTTGACTGGTTTCAAAAGTCATTCGAAAAGTAGGGCTCCAAAATGACTTTCATATGCAGTCTTTCTCTTGGACATTCACCACAAAGCTCTTCATCAAACGTCCCCTAGAAGGCACTCTGTCCTGTTCCCAAGAAGTCACTTCTATAACTTCCTGACAGAAAGGTCCACGCTAGATGACAACCCCAAACCTAACTCAACCTGAAGTCGCTCAGTCGTGTTCGACTCTTTGTGATCCCATGGACTGTAGCCTACCAGGCTCCTCCGTCCATGGGATTTACCAGGCAAGAGTACTGGAGTGGGTTGCCATTTCTTTCTCTAGGAGATCTTCCCGACCCAGGGATTGAACCCAGGTCTCCTGACGCTTTACCACCTAGCCACCAGGGAAGTCTACCTACCGTGGCTAAAAACGCCCTCGTTTGGGAATTCCCGGCTGCCCAGTGGTTAGGACGTGAGCCCTCGCTGCTGTCGGGGAACTAAGATCCCACAAACCATAGAGCATGGCCAAAAAAAAATTTCGTTTGGGAATTCCCGGCTGCCCAGTGGTTAGGACGTGAGCCTTCGCTGCTGTCGGGGAACTAAGATCCCACAAACCATAGAGCATGGCCAAAAAAAAATTTTAAAAAAAATACCCCTCATCTGTCACACCATCATTTAACGTCCAGAGCTAGAATCCATCGTTATTACTACTTCCTTTTCCTTTTCTTGATAAACTTACAAGGAAAGTATTAACACAACCCAAAAAAAGGAGGCTCCTAAATGCCACTGCCCCCAGAGACCGCATATGCCTTGGGCACTGGGTCAGGTAAAAAGACACAGGATTCCAAACTCTGGACCCACTGACGGCAGCTCCTCACAGGATGCAGAGTGGACAATCTTAAGTGCACAAAGCAGACGGCAAAGTCAGCTGCAGCCTGGCGATGGCTGGAAAAGAAATGTTTTCAACGGAGGTATCTGAAGACATACAAAAGCTATCTTCCAGGGACTTCCCTGGTGGTCCACTGAAGGGGGCGTAAGTTCAATCCCTGGTGGGGGAAGTGAGATCCCATGTGACTTAGAGTGTGGGGGGGGAAAAAAAGTCTTCTAATACCAACAAGGACCAAAAGCTGTCTTTTCTCCATATTAGAAAATAGATAATGGGCCGAATGGAAATTTTCCCTTCAAACTACAGCAGTGTGATGAAACTACTCTCAAATCCTTTGGGTTTTATTAGATAATCAAGCTGAAAAGCCATGAGAAGATAAATTTTTCCTCCAGGATGCAGGGTGTTATAAAACCTCTGACCACCATCCTTGAAACAAGGAAAGACGGGTTTTTGTTTTTGTTTTAAATATTTTCAGGGACTTTGAAGGAGCTCCTGAAATTAAAATAATCATGGCAACACAAAATTCAAAGAAGGGTTTAGAGAAGTTGGAGAAATCTCCCCAATGGGAAAACAAAAAGACAAAGGAATGGGAAAGGAGAAGGACTGAAGGAGATTGAGGATAAAGGACAGGAGTCCACAGATGGAAGAGGTCCACCTGGCTCCCAGCGCAGTGGACGACACATTGTCCACATCTTGGCACGGCCACCGTGACATCTGCAAACATGAGGAACAGCCCTGCAGAATTTACACAGAGCAAGACACAGGTCACAATCAAAGGAATGGCTCTGGGCACCTTGACATTGAAAGTCAACTGAACAGCGTCTTCCAAACTCTGCAGGAAAATGATTTCTAACCCAGGATTCTACACTCAGCCAAAATGACCATTAAACACGAGAGTAAAACGTTCCAACATCATGTCGTCAGTCGCTCAGTTGTGTCCGGCTCCACGACCCCATGGACTGTAACCCACCGAGCTCCTCTGGCCAAGGGATTCACCAGGCAAGAGTACTGGAGTGGGTTGCCATTTCCTTAGAAGTTCTCAAAAAAAAATTATGTCTTAGAAAACTGCTGGTGAACATGCTCAACCAAAACAAGAGAGAAAACTTAAAAAATAAGAAAGCATCTTATTTGGAAGGCAGCTATGCTCACCACTATACCACCAACGCCAAAGCATCTTATTTGGGAAAGAGGTGAAAGAAATCCTCAGGGCAACAGGGAATGTGCAGCAGGCCTGAGAAGCAACCAATTTGGAGAAAATCAGGGCTTCCCTGAGCCTGGGTATTGCTCAACGGAATCTGTCTGCAGTTCAGGTGACAGAGGAGATGCAGGTTCATTCCCTGGGTCAGGAAGATCCCCCAGAGGAGGAAATGGCAACCCACTCCAGAATTCTTGCCTGGGAAATCTCATGGACAGAACAGCCTGGCAGGCTACAGTCCAAAGGGTGGCAGAGTCAGACACAACCAAGTGACTAAACCACCAGAGGTGGGTGACAGGCTCAGAAAAAATTATCCTAATAAAAGGACAGAATAGAATATTCCTTGTTGTGTGTGAACCTACAGAAGGGAGATTTACACTTTGAGGGGCTGTTTTCAGCACAGAAAACTAAGCAAAACATAGCAGAGCAAGTCTCAACTCTAGAAAAAAAGGTAAAAACAATAAAAGAAGGGAACTGTAAGCAAAACAGATGATATATCTCAGCTGTGAATAATGTTCCCAGAATCATAATAGGTCCTGCTGAATATTTAACCAAAACCTTTAATGTAATTATACTGACAGGACAGAGGAAAAAGATGTGGGTGGTGGGAGGAGGGAATAGGTGACCCAAATTGTCTTCTTCCTAAGCAGGAAGTCTCACACAAAATCTGGAAGAAACTGCTAAAACACTGAAAGCAGGAGGCCTCGGGGGACAGGAATCAGGGTGGAGAAGGGTGGGGTAGGTGACTGCTGGGTTTTTGTTCTAAGTCCTGTAGAACTTTTGACTCTTAAAACTATGCGCCTGTGTAACTGTTTAAAATGGGGTATTTCATTTTTAAACAAAATCTGATACTTGACCAGCAAGAATATCAGATTAAGCAGTGTGTTCTTAAACTTTCTGGAATCCAACGCCTTCGAAAAAGAACGGAGTTATAAATCCTCCCCCCAGTAAACATACACACAAAGACACACAACATTTCTGCACAGGGTATCAGGCAGCCAGTAAATTCCTGAAGGCTGAGTTAAAAAGCCTTAGGATTCTAGATTCTGATTTCTTACAGAAGGAAAAAAAATTATAATGAGAAACTATTAAAAACACCTACATGATCCAATTCCAGGAGATAGTGAAGGACAGAAAGCCTGGCGTGCTACAGTCCCTGGGGTCACAAAGAGTCAGACAGGACTTTGTGACTACATAACAACATGAACAAACAAGATCGTGTGGTTGTTTATTCAGCCCCTAAGTCGTGTCTGACTTTGGGACTCCATGAGGTCACGCTTTGTCTTAAACGCTCGTGACCATCACCTGTTGCTTCCTTGACCACAAGACACACCTCACTGCAAACCATCAATGAGAGTATGAACTCTGTTTCCTGGGCTTTGCTTCAGTCTTGAAACAGATGCTCTGAAGTTCAGGAATGTGAATCCCCGTTGGGTCGACTCAGCTGTTTTCACTGGAGAAACGGACATGGAATTGTGCACTCTTCGCCGCAAGAGGAAAAGTCCTTCACATCCCAAATCCCCCACGTGGCTATTTTTTCCAATAGAGGAATTACTTTAATGACTTCTTGGCAAAACTTCTATAATCAGAGCAGCCCATCCATTTAAATACTCCAAAACGCAAAATTTACTCTGTTTCTTTCTCACTGACCTGCTGCTATAAACCCACCATCAGCTCAAGGATGAGTCAGGTGAACTGTCTTGTCATTTAAGAGGAATCTTAATGGTCCTAACAATTTGCTTAAAATACCAATGCCTTTTATTTATTGTGAACTGAGGGCAACAATAACAGTGTCACTGGATGTTGTCATAAATGGATTGGGTAATTGTGGGAGGCAAAATAATGACTCCCCAAGATGACCACGTGCTAATCCCTGGGCTCTGTGATTATGTCACTTTACCTGACAAAAAAGCACTTTGCTACAGACCTCAGACAGGGGTCCCAGATAGA